TTTGAGATCTGTTTGGAGGCAGACTTGCAGGGACATCAAAAATTGTTTTGTAAGTATAGAGTAGCATAGCAAGTTATGGTTCCATATCAGAAGGCAAGTCTAAAAATTGATCAAGTGGCCCATCCAATGTAGAAAATTGTAATGTGAAAAGCTCATCAATTGCATGAGTACGTTGCATTTTCCTCATGTGATTAAATTGAGCTTGTTGTGGTAAAGCTGGCTTGTCTCTATAGAAAGTAATAAATTGGGTGCCCAAATAAAATTTCAACTTCATGCTACTATAATCAGAAAGATGCAGACCCAATGTTGCTAACCAAGTTGCCCCTAGTACTAGATCAACACCTGAGACAGGAAGTAAATAAACTGGCAACTTAAGAGTATGGCCTTGAAAGGTCACCTTTAAGTCACAGATCAATCCCTCTACTACTAATGAATTTCCCTTACCAACCAAAACATGTAGGTTGGAAATTGGTTCTACTGGCAATTTTAGCCCTTGAGCAATTCGAGGCTGAAGGAAGTTATCTGAACTTCCACTATCAAGCAGTATTTGCACTCGTACTCCATTAATTGACCCCTAGAATCTCATGGTACCTAAGCCTGAAGATCCATTTAATGCATTATAAGACAAATGATGGTCTTGAGGACCTGAATCCACTACTGCCCCTGGATCGTCTGGTGGTTCAGGTTGTAATTCAGGTTCATCATCCTCTTCGCATTGCAATACAAAATACTATTTGTTGGGACATTTATGGTTGGGAGAAAATTTGTCATTACACGTGAAACAAAGACCTTTGTCCCTTCTTACTTGCATCTCAGCAGGTGTTAACCTTTTTATGTTGGTTGGCTTCCAATGAGGGGAGGGTAACAGTGGGGGTAAGCTAGTGGATTTAAGGGATTGAGGTGTGAATTGGTTTGTGTTTATGGCTGGTGTTTTGGGAAAAAAAACTGGAGGAATTTGGTCTTATTTTTGGAACATACTTCTCTTCATATAATTTGGCTAATGAAATAGTTCTAAGGAGGGAAGTGGGTGCTTGAGCAATAACATCCCTACGAATGTCAGGTTTCAAACCTCCAACAAAACAATCCAATAGTGCTTCCTGAGTAATGCCCTGTACACGATTAGCCAAAGCTGTAAATTGCACATAATAAGCCTGAACTGAGCTACTTTGTGTGAGTTTGAACAACTGTGATCTTGGGCACTCATATGGAGAATGGACGAATTCCATTTCTAAAGCTCTTGTAAAAGTAGTCCAAGAGTGAAATGGATTGTCACACGTAATCATTTAATACCATGGAACAACATCTTTATCCAAATGGATCGAAGCAATCAGTAAACGTTGATCATCAGGGGTTTTATAATAGCTAAAAAATTGTTCAGCCTTGAATATCCATTGTAGCACATCAGAACCATCGAATCTGGGAAAGTTGAGCTTAACGTTGGGTCTGCACATTGCTAGTTGAACCATTATCTGCACTTGGTTGTTGTTTGAGGACCAGTTCCAATGTTGTTTCTAACGTTTCAAAACGAGCAGAGTACTCCTTATCACGTGATTCCATGATCTCCAAAATCCTCTTGACATCCGCCTCAAGCTCCTTCATGCGTGTGTTTTCCGCCATGAAGCAATGAAAGCACCAATGTAAGGGAAATCCAAAACAGAGCAATAGAGATAATAATGGAACAGTAGACAAAATTGAGGGTACTATAATTCCTCATCCATTATAGAAGCTTCCAGTACAGAGTCATGATGAAATTGAAAGGAATAATGCAGTTTTGGAAATATACCCAAAAACAGAAATGCAAAACGAAATGAAGCAGAAAGAAAAAGATGACAGAAGATCCTGAGAGAGAAAGGATCACAATTCAATTTTCTCCACACATTCTCTTTCCTCTAACCGTCTCTTTTATATTATTCTTTGAGCCAATAGTAATCCTTGAGCTTGCTATTAATTGTTTTGGGCCTGGACCCCCTTCTGACCTCAGCTTGTCTTTCCCTCATGTGCTCCTCATTTCCTTCATTAACAATAGTCTCTTTTGCCCTCTCTTGCATTGTTACTAGGCATGACAATTTAACCCGTCCTCGTGAGTATCCCGAACTTGCCCCTATTTGGATAGGGAAAACCCGTGTTTATTGGGTTCGGGTTCAGGTTCGGATTTTTCCCGATTGATAAAATCGGGGGCGGGGATGTTAATACCCACCCCGCCCTCGCCCCCATACCCGCCCCCGACCTCGCCCCACTTAATAATATAATTAAAAAATTATTTA